ACCTTTAGATCCACTTCATTCATTTTAATGGCTGCTGAGTATGCAAGTACTCCATTACATACATATCCCTGATTTATTTTCACTATTAGTGGGCATTTGGGTTGTTTCAAATTTCTTAATAGTATACAAACATTGCAATGGATATCCTTGCACATATTTCTCTGAGCATTTGTGGAAATGTTTTTGTGAGATAAATTCCTCAAAATATTAAAAATATAAATGCTGAGTTGTAGGATATAAACATTTAGAATTTTAATAGGTACTGCCAAATTACACACTAAAAAGGTTATTGCAATGTGCAAAACAGATATGAAATTGCCTTTTTTTTCATAGTGCCACCAATATAGGTTACTTTCAGTCTTTGAAATATTTGTCCAGCTAAAATAACATCTCAGTTTTTAAAAACTTGCATTTCCCTAAATGATATGGTATTTGAATTTTTATTATTTGTACATGTTTTTCAGATTTCCTCTACCTATCCTTTCCCTTCTTTTCATGGGGCTATTCATCTCTTATTTATTTATTTATTTATTATTTTTAAAAAGATTTTATTTATTTATTTGAGAGAGAGAGAGCACAAGCAAGGGGAGGGGCAGAGGGAGAGGAAGAAGCAGACTCCCCACTGAGCAGGGAGCCCAATATGGGGCTCAATCCCAGGACCCTGGGATCGTGACCTGAGCTGAAGGCAGACACTTAACCAACTGAGCCACCCAGGCGTCCTAACAATATATTTCTACTTATAATTTTTTGTGATACATGTTCTCATTTCCTATCCTTTACCACTCCCGCTCCCTCACTTTTGAAGCTGCTCTGTCAACAACAGCTTCCAGAATTCAACCTTTCTTCTCAGCCCAATAACCTCCTTCTAGCTTCTCGTTTCCCTCTCATCTTCTGCAGCTCTAGAATCTTCCATCCCAAGAGACAGATCTAATTTGTCAATCAGTGTACTCCAATTCTGGATAAATTTCTCTGTTTACTTCCTTTCCTCCAGCTTCTGAGTGTTGGCAGAGGAAGTAATAACAATGCTCCATAGTGTCATGAACTTTATACCTTCTCACTTTGGGGTCTCAGTGCATTAAACTGTCTATTTATACAATTTTAGTCATACACTTTCCCAAATTACCCACAGCTCTATAGCTAGAACCAACACGATCTCTACCTCTTGTTCTCAGCAGTTTGACCTTATTATTACTCTTTGAGAATCAAAGCCACTGCACATGAGTTGTCAACTTCTCTTTCTTCCACTTCAAAATGTCTGCACATTTTCTGTAAAAAGGTGTCTTGGTCTTTCTGAGACTAATACTTCCACACACAGCCCTAACCTGTCTCTTTGTCTCCCCCAGCACCAATCTTACTTGTTTTCTTGGGCATATATATTTTCTTCATCTTTAATTTGCCCCTTTTTACAAGTTCAGTCTGTAGACATATTTTTCTATTACCACCTCATTCTATCCCCCATCCCAGGTACCATTTGATTACTTTTTCTTCATTGCCATATTTCTTGAAAAAAGGTTGTATGCTAACTATCTGTCTATATTTACTCACTTTCTATACACTTCTCACTCACTTGAACCATGGTTTCCACTCCATCTACTCTCCTACTCTCTACTCTCCTTAGATTTGCTCCTAATGTCTGAAGATGTAGTGCTGCTGCCCAAACTCTTTTATCTTGAAATTCCTTTGGCTTCCATTGCCCTGCTCTTTCCAGATTGCCTTTTCCTTCTTCCATCATCTGAAACAGGTACTTCTCTCTTTCTTTCTTTTTTTTTTCTTTCTGTCCTTTAATTTCCAAAGCACATCCATTCACATTTGACTGACTGATAGTACATAAATATTCTTTTACAATAGGCCAGACATCTATGTTATCCCAATTATAGAAAAACAGATGCAAAATAGTGTTAAGAAACTTCCTTGCCTGAAATTATAAAACTACATGTGTGCATATGTTTTTAAAATCTCTTTGTTCCCTTTTCATCCTTTTGGTTGAACTTTATTAATATCTGCCCTTCTTGTACTCCCCTCTCTTGTGAAAGGCATCAAATATCTAGTCACTCAGCCAAATCTCCTTCTCCTTCACCATCCCCCCACCTCTAGTCACCAAGGGCTAACAAGAAACCTTCCTAAATTTTTCTGGAATGGTTCTCTTCTCCATGAGAGTTCTCTTTTGCAAGTCCATTTCTTCGTAAGTCTGACATGTGAGATTTTAATTGCTCTGCTGCAGTTTTCTCTTCTTTAGTCCATGGTGATGCCCCAGGTCTGTTTGCTTTTGTAGTTTTTGTATCATGGTCATTAAGAACAGTAGCATAAACTCAGCTCTTAGTCTCTTTCTGCTTGACAGCAATTGGTTTAAAGCGTGCATGCAAAGCTTGATATTGAGACTTAATTGCTGACAATTCCTTTAAGAGTGTAACTAGATTTTTCTTGCCTGCTGAATCAGGATGATTAGTCTTGATTTCATTTTCTAGTCTGTACTGAATGTAATCCAGATCAGAGTCAGCTTTCTGGAACATGAGTTCCATCTTATTGACCTCTGCCTCCATCTTGAATAGTTGACATTCCTCAGAAGCCTGAAACAGGCATTTCATGAAGCATTCTTTGTGTCCATTTGCTTATCTCTTTTAACTATGGTGCTATCATTTTCTGCAACCACAGTCTCTTGCGGTTGATATATAAGTTTAGGTCTAGATCCCAACCTCTCTTTTGGGCACATGCCCTCTGATTTCATATGCTTAGTAAGCATTTTTACCTGGCTCTCCCACCAACCAATCCAACAAATAAATTTCAACCAAACCTGAACTTCCAGTTAGGAAAAGATATTAGGGTTCAAAGATGATGGCCAAGAAAGAATTCTTGAGACGTCTTTGGTGCAAAACGTGGTTTTATTAAAGCTCGGGGACAGGATCTGTGGGCAGAAAAAGCTGCCCCGGGGCCATGAGAAGTGGCACATTATAACCTTTCACATTGCAAGGGGATTAGGGATAGCGTGAATCTCTAAGGAATTTTGGAAGCAAGGTTTCCAGGACCTTTAGGGGGCTAGCTATTGTTGGGAAAAGTCATTTATTACTGTCTAGTAAAACCCAAGTCATGAGACCCTTCAGATGAATATCGGTGGGTCATATACTTGGGGGATGATTGCCAACATGTGTCTTGGGGGGAAGAAATAAAGGAAGTTTCCACAGGAATTTTTATATGTTAAAGTAGACTTACAGGGTCTTGGGGGTTGGGCTAAGATTGCCTTTTGCCCTTAGCAAAGCATTAACACGGAGGCAGCTGAGTTCCTCAAGGAATATGTCACTCTGCCTGTTCCAAGGACTTGTCCATGGGCTGTAGGCAGTAAGGAAATTTTTCTTCTGCCTTTGTTTCCCACATCACCAGTCTCTGATATTGATATCATCCAAAAGCCTTCTTTGACATCACAACTTCCTTTCACTCCACATGCATAGAATTCCATGGCAAACCTTGTTATTTTGTCACAACAGTATTATGGCAATCATTATCTTTTCAGTTTCATTGACCTATGTCTGATCCTTGTAGTTGCTCCCCTGGGTCTTTACAGTAGGTATTTATCTAAGCAGATTTTCTGCTTCTAGTCTCTGCCCCCTGCCCCCCCAAATAACCTGGATCACTGTTCCTTAAAATTTTAACCTCCAGGAATGGGGTTTACAGATAAAAGATGACTTTTTATTTTTTTATTTTTAAAGATTTTATTTATTTGATGACTGAGCCACCCAGGCCTCC